TGGAAGCCAGAGCAGCATTCTGCTCACCGAGGCAGACATGTAGGAGGACAGGAGCAGAAGGGCTGGAGAAGTACAAACCAGCAGCTCTGGCTGTTAAGTCCTGGAAGCGTTCAAATACTGAACTATTTTCGTCAAGGAGAACAGGCAGCTAGTGCCAGATCAAAGCGATGACAAATGAAACCAGATGCTTTCCTTGCCTCGCTGACGGATCGGAGAACTCCCCGCAGGTAGCTGAAACCATCTGCTCCCCGTGTTGTCAGTGAAGCCCTCATTCGAAATTCTGTCAAAAAACCTATGGCCTCCAGTCAGTGCAGTACAGCATGCCTGGTTTAGGTCTTGGGATTTTCCATGTTCGAGGTGCTGTTTTTGTATTGGGACACTGCCTCAGTTATTTCCCCTCTGCTTAATTCCAGCTTTTTCCATTCATAGATGGACTGTGTGCTACATCACCATTTATTTTAGTATCATTTCTCTGCAAAATTTGGATAAACTTTGGCATATTGGAAAGGGACACTGCCTGACTGAGCTCCTACACTGCATCATAAATAAGGATTAGTGAAACTGGAGATGGCTCAATCTTAATTCCTTTGAAGATTAAAAAGATTTAAGTCAGCTCAGCTGATACAGTATGGAAACATATAAGTCAAAAAAAAACCCCCACTTTGCGAACAATTAGAAAATTAATAGAAATTATAATATGCCCACTTGTGACAGTCTAAAGATACTTCAGTCTTAGTTGTAGATGTAAATATATATATGCTGAACTTACCCTAGTTTTGCATCTCCTTTCAGATTTTGAATATAATGCTACTAACTGAAGAAACTTGAAAAAAAGATTTTAAAATACTGAATTGCAGTAACTTCTTGGTCTCAAAAATCCAAGTTCTTGTGTTGGTTACAGGGGGAAGCATGGTACCGTAGATGTCCTGTAATTTTCTCTTTAACACCTATGGGCTGGAATAAAATTGTATATGCAAATCACGATGCCATGCATAATAAATGCATAATAAATACAGGGTGTTACAGCCTTGGATACTTCTATCCACATATATGAATTTCAGTTCAGGGAGGCTGATCTTATTAGCATTTTTAGTGCTCATTTCAAAATACTGATTTTCACTGAGGTTGCTCTAGTATAATGATTAATACAATGGTTAATAAATTACTATCAGTCTCGTTTCCATTTTGTGAGCTAACAAATGGGCCTTCACAATTATGATACACACAGATAGAGCAATTTTTTGTTCCTTCTAATCTGGCTTTTCAGTGACAGGTTAAAGCAAAAGAAAACTGAAGGAGAATATTGTCTCCTGAGCAATTCCTGAGAGCATCGCAAGTATTGAAGTTTTGTTAAGCTTTCAGTTTACATGTTTATCTGCACCGGAAGTACAAGTTTTCCTAAGGCAACAATCTTCTGCTTAAATTTTATGGAAATACTTAATGTGGCAGTTGAACTATTATTTTTCCTCTTTTAATTCGTCTCACAAGTCCAGAATTAAACAAGATTTCAGTTTGATTCAGGGCAATAGCAGGTGGTGGCGCAATCGTCACTAAGCTTTGTATTCCTTTTTTGGTTATACAGATGAAACTTCTTTCTGCAACTCCTGGAAAAGTTGTTTGTGAAATGAAAGTAGAGGAGGAGCACACAAACAGAGGTGGCACATTACACGGAGGTTTGACAGCCACGCTTGTGGATGTGGTATCAACAACAGCATTGCTGTACACTGAAAGAGCAGTGCCTGGGGTCAGCGTGGACATGAACATCACGTAGGTATCATCCACCAGGTTCATCAGAACATACTAACTTTCCTTCACCTAACACAATCTTGACTCCACGGTACTTAATTTCTGTGCTGCAGTACTCACTGAAAAAAAAAAAAAAAAGGTTTCTTTTGTTTCGGAACTCTTGTTTTGATAAATTAAGCAGAAGATAATGTATTTGGGGATATTGCCATTTGGTTGCAAAACTGAAGCTGGAATTTGTTACATGCATTTAAAAGACGGTATCTGTACGTTCCTAGAATGTAAAGGGATGTTGATATTTGGTGAATTTTAGTCTTATGAAACTGACTCAACTTCTGTCTTCGCTTGTGAAGATCTGTTAGCGTGTACCCTCAAACACCAACATCTAGGATAGGCAGCTTTCCATAAACCCTTTTTAGTACTAGTCTATCAAATGTTAAAATAGGCAAAGTACTAAGACAGGAAACAGTTTAACTTTGTTGTATGCTCACATAGCTGGTAAATTACAAATGGAATCAGAATTTCTCAGTGGAAGAAGATTCCTTTGCTCTAGCTCATTTAAAGATCCTTTTATACTGAGAATAGTTCTTCCTGTAATAGAAATTTAAATCAGTGTCTTAAATATAAAAAAGTTGTTCTGAAACCTTCTTTGATCATACTATTATAGGTTGTCAGCTTTGATTCTTTACTTGCAGTGAAGTGATTATGATTGATTGGAACTACAGTAATCCTATTTGGAATAACTGATAGAGAGCATTAAAAATTTTGAAAAGTAACCCCTCATCAAAACTGTCTTTAAAAAGAAAAAATCTTCAGAAGTGTGTGTGGAGTGATCTGTATCTTTACTGGTAGCCTCCACTCCCCCTGAGCACCTTCTGATTTTTTTCATAGGGCAGGGAGAATTGGAGCATCTCTCTAAGCCTTATACTACCACTGTTATGACTAGGAAATTACTGTAAATGAAAACCTAAAATTGTCCAATGATTATGTTTGGGGTATTTTTCTGCTATGGTAGTATAACAGAGGCTAACATCTGAATTATATACACTATCAAGTATGCCAGCCTGATTACATAAAGGCTAAAATCTTAAGAAAGTGCTGTCTCTGGAGTGGATCCGAGATGATCGAGTAGCATAATCTTTAGGAAATGTAATGTGAAGCAGCATTAAAAGCTTTGATTAACCCAGCCTACTGCTTCCACTGAACAAGTGAGATTGGATATAGAATATTGCTATAATACAACTTCCTTGGATTTGGGAAAGAGCTTTTTAAATAGTTGGCTGGAAGAAGCTATTTTAATAATGGAAAGAAGAGAAAGAAACAGAAACTTTTTTATCATCATTTTTAATCACAAGAGGATCAGCAGCAGCCTCTGAGAATAAGCCTGAAACCCTGCCCCTTGTCAATTAACGGGGTTTGTGCTACATTAGCATTAGGCATGACTGACATACCCTTGATGCACTATCATGTATAAAAATGGGCAGGCTGATGAAATTTATCTCGGTAGGATTTATATCCAGCAATTATACATTCTCCTCTGTAATTCTGACGTTTGAATATTCTTCCCTTACCTCAAGATCATGGTTGGATTGTGTTCCTCCTAATTCTTTCCAGGCTTTTTTTTGGTGGGGGGGGATATGTGTGGAATTTCTTCCTATTCCCTGGGGGATGTGTTTTAAAAGCACACCCTTCGTACTCATGTGAATAAAAGGTTACCTATTGAAAGAAAACAGCAATAAACCTGGCAAGTCTGAAGGCCTCCCAGATTTCCATGACTTTACTCTGACCAGGTTATGGGCAGCAGCTCACTTGTGCTTAGGTTCCCTATAGAAATAACCTTCTGGAGTTTTTGTAACATTTTGTGGCTGACCCAGCCCAACTAGTTTAGAAAGGCTGCAGGGAGCCAGCAGTGTCTGGAATAGGACCTGGAGCTGAACCTTTAACCTAATTGTTTCTGTTCCAAAATGGACTTTTCCTCAGAACCATGCCAATGGGCTTCTTCCTATCCTCAGTTTTCTCAGAGAACTCTTACACTGAATTACCACTGCAGTAGAGAAAGGGTTTATGAAGTGGGCATTCGCAAGAAGGCAGTTAGAGAGGGATGTGTCTCTTTCACTGACTTTTACTAATTCCCTCCATGATAGTATAAAACGCAGGAATATTCTTAGATTTGTGCTCAGTACAACCTCTTACCTGTTCGTTTTGTTCTTCATTGAAGATACACTTCTGCTGCTAAGATTGGAGAAGAGATACTGATTACAGCTCAGATTTTGAAGCAAGGAAGAAATCTTGCATTTGCCACCGTGGATTTAACAAATAAGGCAACAGGAAAGTTAATTGCACAAGGTAGACACACAAAGTATCTAGGAAATTAATGTAAATAATTGAAAAATTAACATTGGGCTTGAGAATCCCATATAGAGTGATTTTCTCACACAGTAAGATATGATCTGCACACAAAGTTGTAGTCTGTATAACGTGAATTTGTCTCACTCCCATAATAACTGAACAAATTTCTACCACTAGAATTGTTACAAGCCTAAAAGTTAGTGCCTATTTTGGGATGAACAACAGAGTATGGCAGCTTGGGGATGCATCTGTCTTTTTTTTGGTTAAGACTGCAGAAGGGGAGAGCCTTTGGAACAGCCATATGGTTTACCAGCATGACAGTGTTTAAAGAGATCCATTTTCTTTGCCTGTGGTGTCATTGTGTGACAAAGCGATCCTGTCTTCAGGCCTGTCAGTGTCACATTCAAACAAGACCATACATGCTTCCAAACTAAAATACTTGTTATGGAAGATGGTAGCACCTGCTTCCTGTAACAGTGTGAAACTGGTTCAAAAGTGTAAAGCAGGCTAATACAAAATGCCATGTACTGATACTGTAACAAATTCAAAAGTATTCAATAAAGCTTTCTGAAAGGACCTAAGATCATTTAATAGTTCTGTAATCTCTTTGCACTGACTAAAAGCTTGCCATCACAGAGTGGTTGAGCGAGGGTTGCTGAACCCTCATACACAAAGTCACCTGAGATTTCATCAACTCCCTGTGATTCCTGAATGTGGAAGTGTGGTTACATTAGGTCCTTTCACCTCTAGCTACCTGAAGTTCTGGCTGTATTTGTTTAAAAGTCAACAGCTGACAGAGATGTATCAAAAGGAACGTGGTGAGCTTTTCATCAGGTGAAAGCTGCAGCTTGTCTGACTTGAGCTGGATGGAGTAGAGTTAAGCTGCTATTCATCAGCTGAAGGCTTGTCTCCTCATGCCCTGTTGTGGACAGGTGTAACTGCTTTCTTCAAATTGATGACAAACACCTCTTGGCAAGACTATTGCACTGCAATAAAAACAGCAATGCTACATATGCAGTGCAAGTTTACATAAACTGTGGCTTCTGTTTTTCTTCTGTGCTGGGAAATTTGAAAAAGTCTAGGTTAAGGGCATGCATAATTCTTTTTGACATGAAAGCTGACTTACTGTACAGTGATTTGAATTTTGTGATTAAATGTGCAGTTGGGACTGGTTTTTTTCGCAGATTCCTAAATCTAAAGAAATAATTTCCAATGACTTACGTGATCTGTCCATACAGACTGATTTTCAATATGAAGTTGAACAACTTTACTAATATATTGGCAATCTTTCCAAAATAAATTTCAAACAAGTGATATAGCTGATATCTTACCCTTCAATGGAAGTTCTCTAAAAAAAAAAAAAAACCAAACCTATTAGCATGTATTTTTGCTGTAAATTTAGAATAGTTGTTTGTGGTATATATGTTCTCAACAAAAGCTTTTTTCCTGAGGCTGTCTCAGAAGCATGCATAGCTTACATGCCTGTGGCTAGTTGAACTTTTAGTAGTAGCATCCTCTCTTCAGCAATACATCCATAATTATGTTTTCTCCATACTTGCACTCAGAATTGTCCCTGAATCTCATTTACAGAAACGCAGTGCTTTGCTAAAGCAGTTCCATCAGAATCACAGAATGTCAGGGGTTGGAAGGGACCTCTAGAGATCATCTAGTCCAACCACCCTGCCAGAGCAGGATCCCCTAGGGCAGCCACAGGAATGCGTCCAGGCAGGTTTTGAAAGTCTCCAGAAAGAAGGAGATTCCAGAACCTCTCTGGGCAGCCTGTTCCAGTGCTCTATCACCCTCACAGTGAAAGAGTTTTTCAGGAACACCCTTTTTAGTTTTAAATTTTTGCTCAGCACAACTCTATGCTTCACTGTATTAAATTGTTTCTCACTTTACAGCTTCCTCTGCCTGGAGGTCTGTTATGAGTCTTAAACATCTCTATCTCCTCTACAATTACTAGGATGAGCAGACAGAGAAGATCCATTATAGCATATGGACACACCTACTGGGTTTAGCAATTGTGTTCTGGTTTGTCTTCCTCTTAACATGTTCTGGCATCTCAAATCACTTGTTTTCTCATCTGGCTGTCTTCCATGGTTACCCATGTAGTAAGAGTGCAAGGAAACAGAAGCAAGGGTTAAAACTGCTTCCCCAGCTACCATAAACCTACCCCCCTCGCTGGAGTACAAGAGTGATTTTGACTTATCTGAAATAAAAGGCAGAGGGTGAGAACAGAGGAGGTTCTGAATCCAGTCCATGCCCAGAGATTCAGAATGCTCTCAGCTCGATGTGCTGGGACTGCTCTGTCATTGTGTCACTGTCCCACTGCAACTTAATGCGACTTCCTTTAGTTAAAGCTGGCTGCCCCCGGAACCTGCCATAGATAAGTGATCTCATTCTATCACTTAGCATTCATCATATCTACATAATTACAGTGGAAAAGTGTCCAGGCAGATTAAGAGTGGCAAACCTCAACATGGAAACAGAAGCATCCTCCTGTTCCCATTCCAGCCTGGCAAGTACTGTTGCAGGCTGAGAGGAAAATGGAAAAAACCAAACCTTTCCTGAAGTAACAAGTCAATTCTGTCCTTCATTGCAAGAGACTATTCAACACAGTATTTCAGTGCTGCCTAATTAAGGAAGAGGGACATCATTAATATGCAGGCCAGTTATTTTAGAAGCAGTTCATTAAACTGATTATTTTAAGACATAAGACAACCTTGTCTGTCACCCCTCCACCTGCAGCAGTGTGCTGACCTCATAAGTTATTTCACAACTTAGGCTTGCAGATGATCTTAAAAGGAATTGTCACGAATGAGTTTGCCTAGCTTTGGGAATAAACTGTTAAACATCAGCCTTAATATTTGGAAGTGTTCTTTAATGACTTGACGCTAACCTACATGTTGAAAAAAAATCTGCCTTACCTTAGCTGAGTCTCAAAGGAAATAATGTAGAATAATCACTGTTCTAAGGACAAATAGCATGTGGTTCCACCTGGCATCAGACAAAATGATCTCCTGTGGGGCTGACCTGGTTCTATCACTGCAGATTTAGCCGTAATTCCCTTACAAGCAAGCAAATAAGGCGCCTTGATGAGATCATCTTGTGAGGCTTATTGGTATATACCACATTACTTATCCGATAACTGACAGATATCCACAAGCTCTGTATCTTACAGCTGCAAATGAGACTGTCTGTCCCATACTGAGCCAGATGTTTGCAGCACAACTCTGCTATTGCACAAACGCACTCTGACACCTGGGCATCAGCACCATGGCAGAACTGTGTGTTACCCATCGCTTAAGATAATGAGGAATCAGAACAGAATCATTTCCACCGGTGTTTAAAACCAAGAGTCCAGAGCCTAATCAGGGCAAATACTGATCATAGATTAAGGCACTGTGAGGAGGGATTTAGTCATTAAGGATTCCAGCTCTCAGGAAGAAGGAACTTGTCAGTGATAAACCAGGGAATGCAGAGGGTAAAGAAAGACGACATTGCAGAAACAAGCACTAAACTATCGGGACCCCTTGTTAGTCTTTGGTGGCTTAACCCTAGTCACAGGGGTTCTACAGCTGAGCTGCTTCACCTAGGTTACTCTGCCCATTTAATTACAAGCTAGTTGCTTTACAATTTTCAACTTGGCAAGCATTACCACCTAAAGGGGGTGAGGGGGGGTGTGGAGAATTAAGCTGTTAAGTAACTGTTCTGAACAGCAGCTCAATTCTGTTCAGCTTCGTGGACTGGCTCTGAGCCCTGCCAGGGCATACAGAAGAATTTCTATGTTTTATCCCTAAACCAGACCAAATAACTTGCAAGCTCTAATCAAACAAGACACATTTGCTATCCTCCAGAAACAAAACAACAAACTACTTTTGTTAACCAACACCTGGGCCACTGCAGTAAGATTCCGGATCTTCGATTTCTCTTGCTGAAAAGCAGTAGCTGCTTGAATATATTTCAAGAGTCCAGAAAAGCAGCTGGTAGACTGGTTGCTCTGGCATGCAGTAATTATGCTCAAATTAAGGGACCTTTCCATATGTAAAGCCTTTCCAAGCGGAACTAGGTCATAGATATCTTTAGCCCTGAAGAGCATCTCAGTCAGCCAGGCAGAAGAGAGGTGATGCTTGCTTCAGTAGAGCTGATGCCCAGCGTTGTACAGCCATCCCACCACACTCCCAGCTGCTGTACACAAGGCAGAAAAAAGCAGCACCTACTACCGCAGGTAGAACGGCAGTCTCCTTAGTGTTCCTCAGCGGGCAGCTTGTCTGTACTCCAAGAACACCACACCACGGAAGATTCAAACACCAAACTGACACAAAGCAACCAGCCCTTGCATGCTGCAGCACAGAAAGAGTTGAATGTCCCGTTCTAGTGCTGATGCTCTCTCTGTCCAAACTTTTTAACTTCAGCTGCGCTCAACTCCCCCCAGCCTAGTAGGTGCAGAAGACACCTACAAGCTGAAGCCCTGCTCTCACCCGACTATCAGGGCATCAGGTAGCACAAGTTCAAGTGAAGACCAAACTTACACACAGAAATGTCCTTTTTGTGTGCTAATGATACCAAAGGACAAGTAAAAACATTGGCTTTATGGTTCAGGAAAGAGGAGTTTATATGTAGAGATTACAGAAATGAAAAAATTCTACAAAAGGAGTTCTAGAATAAACACTGCTCAGGCTAGTAACACGCCTCAAACATGCACGCTAAACTTTTTCTCTTTTGTAAAACATTATTAAAACCCTTTATCCCATTACTTCATTCCAGAAAGCTGTTCCACAATCTGCAGACCTATATATTCCCGCTCGGTCCCCATGTGTTGCCTGGTCTAGCTGAGAGGTGGCGTCCCTGCCCATGACAGGGAGGTTGGACTAGAAGATCTCTAAGGTCCCTTCCAACCTAGGCCATTCTGTGATTCTATGATACAGCTTCTGAATTTGCTACTACAAAAAAAGCAAAGCTAAACCCAGGAGTTTTCCAGGCTAATAAAACAGCAATTAACTCAGACCACGTGTCTCTCTGCTTAGTGGATATAAATGGAGTTCAGTAATTCCTGATTTTAACAACTATCATGCTAGTGGCAGAAACCTTAATGTAATGTTAAACAAAGCCTGTAACAGAATAACCTCACAATGAGCAAAAAAAAACCAACCAACCAAAAAAACCTTAAGCAACTGTTCTCACTGATCAAC